ATGCTTTCTGAAGCAGGCTTCGACCCCATTCGACCCGATGCGGGTTACTTCATGATTGCTCATTTTGGAACCATCGACGGTCCCTTCAGATATGATGCATCAGGTGACGAACCCCTCGACTTCCGTTTTGTACGATGGCTTTGTAAGGAAATGAAATTGGCGACTATACCCGTTTCTGCCTTCTATGATAAGGAAAACAGAGTGGGAAACGAGGACACAGTCCGTTTTTGCTTCCTGAAGACCGATGACACCCTTCAAGCTGTACATGAGATGTTGAAAAACTTGAGGAGAGCATGTAGAGCATTTCCTCATTTCTGAGTGCTTGTTTCGCGCAGAGAGACGACGCTGCTGCGGACGCTGCTGGCCTCTCCTTGTATCGAGCGCTCTTTCATTCCTTTCGTCGTCTGCTGTCTCTTTCATAGTTTCACTATTCAAGTCGAACGCAACCATTGACACTTCTATACTGGGGTACGCGCGTCAATGAGGACGGGCCATCTAAGTATTTAAGTATTTTTATTCTCAGACTAAGGGCTGCATGCATTAACATCCCCGCTGGGGAGGAAATCGCAGCTTCAAAGAAATTTTCATATTGTGAAACTGCAGTTATCTGGATTTTACGCTGTCTCCTTATAGATAAGTATTTCTACTACCTTTCACTATGAACATATCGAACAGGAATGAGAAGCTGTACAAGCCAAATTTCCCAGCTTTTGTATGATCCCCTGATGATCCCCCGAGTGATCGTCTTTTCTTCACAATTTTTTTCTTCCACTTTGATGAAAACCTCCCAAAGTTGTACTAATTAGGGTCAACAGTGGTAAGCATGCTACTGATGAGAGCAGTTGAGTTTTTGCAATATCGATTTTTTCGATAAAACTTAACTTTCGATCTGAGGTTCATCGCAAACTTCATTACTATACATTAATTGTTTCTATCAGTAACATGCTCAGCACTGTTGGCTTAGATGATCAGTACAACTTTGGGAGGTTTTCGTTAACCTGGAAGAGAAAGAATAATTTTGAAGGAAAGAGGTTCATCCCCAGGGGGATCATCAGGGATCATACAAGAAGCTGGAAAATCCGGCTTGTACAGCTTCTCGCTCCT